TCTTTCGCTGGAGAATCTTGTCTACCATTCGATAAAGTTGGAAAAAAACCAGATTTTACGCGAATTGAAATTAATTATCTTTCCCAGAACATGTATAATATTAAAAATTGGCAAAATATTCGCCGCGACCTCGTTCATTTCAACGCTCTTATGTTAATAGAACTTACTGCCTCATATTAGAAGCCTATCTCATAATAGGGGGTTCTCCCTATATCTAACGTATTCCGCGATGATTTTTGCATAATACCAAAATTCTTATGAGCAAATTTGGCGTCAACGATAGCACTCAAGTACGCTAGATAATATGCAGAGCTGCAGCGGTGGTACCACACCCTCAGAAAGAATTTCCGTTACTGATATTTCCCTTCATCTTACAACGCACGAAGTTGGCACCACGATATTCGACAAAAGACGATACATGCTAACATTTTATTCTGGATTTTAGAATTTTTCATTTAAGATTAAAATATTCCTTTCTCTATAATAAACATGATTGGCGCTCGATCTTATTTTATGATACGCTGAAGTGCAATAGCATTGGATCTGGAAATTTTTTCCGTGGGTGCATGGTACCATTTACTTGCTCTCTTATTAAGCGGAAGAAGGGCCGATCCACTTCTCGGCAATAAACAAAATCCGAGAGCAGGGTGGTTTTGTGTACGCGAGAACACATAGGGACCGTGATGTATCGCCCGGTTGGACGCATCCTTTCGTCCGTGTCCGAGCATAATCCGGGGGCATATGGAAGCGGTGCTTGCCTTGAAGACTCGTGCCCGCGATGCGGGCTTAAATGCGTCACGGATTTTCTTTTAGACTTGTTCGTTCTGCGTGCCGAGTGTTTAACCGCCTTACGTATTTCGGTCTCAGCCCGAGATGTGTCGCACGACCTGAGAGAAAAATATTCTCAGTCTTTTACCCCCCCCCCCTCCTCCCCCCCCCATTTTCGTGCCCGCATCCTCAGAAAGGATTTCTGTTACTGAGACAAAAAATATTCTTGACGCATTTATATTTCTCGCAACCTCATTTTAGTATAAAAATAAGACAGTATCAAAATTAAATCAATAATTCTTGTTCTCCTCTATCGAATTAAAAAAGATTGACTTACTATACTGAGACAAGAGTAACTTGTATAAATGTAAGTTTGTATATTCTTGCGTTTAGAATAATTTTCCCTCCATCTTATAACGCACGAAATTTGGCACCATAGACCTAGTTTACATCGTGCACTTGATACGCGTATCAAATAGTAACAAATAGTAAATAACTAGTAAATTCGTTTGGTCATTGGCTGATCAGTTCAAATACACTATTTGATACGCGTATCAAGTGCACGATGTAAACTAGGCCATACTATCATTTTATTCTAGATTTTAGTATTTTTCATTTAAGATTAAAATATTCCCTTCTCTATAATAAATATGATTGGTGCTATATCGATCCTATTTTATGATACATTCAAGTGTAATAGCATTGGATCCGGACACTTTTTCTGTGGGTGCGTGTGTTACGAGCGTCACTGCGTTTGTACGTCGTGTTTTATTCCGGAATTAGTTGCGAGACAACCGCAGTATCGTTTAACGATGTGAATAATTTCTTGGTGACTTGGTATTATTTAGCAAGTGGATAATTGTTGCGGCATCAGCGTTTAATTATTAATTTATTTTAATATCAGTATCGTGTCATGTTAGCCACGAGCGTCGAACGCTGTCGGTTGAATGGATTATTATTGTTCCGCGAGAGATTTCGCAAAGCGTTGCGTTTACATTGGTCTCATAGATGTTTATCCGCAGAAGTCTTTCGCATTTCGCTGCCATACAGGCGGCAAGTATGTGGGAGCAGCACCGTGTCTAATATCCTCGGATTTTCTCTGGCATTCGTTCTTCGCGCGTCACGTCCCTTTCTCGCAATAACCACGCTCTATCCAGAGTTCTTTGATCTTTGCTTGAAATGCAGGCGATGCTGCGAAATGCGCGTGTGTTTCTGTGCGCGGATGTGTTTGTGAGAAAGACGCACTCTTTTGCACGATACAGTTACATGCAGATGGATTTTCGAAGAAAGGGAGGATTTACGATCAAAAAGTAGCTTCACGGAGCAAATTTTATGTGGAATAATTTTCTGTTAAATATAAAGCCTTCTTTTTTGACAGAACATGCAAAATACAGAAGAACAGGTAATAATTTTTCTGGAACAATTGTATATTCTTCAAGAAAGATTTATAGAACGTTCGAATACAATATACCCAGGGAAAAAGGTTCTTTGAATCAAATTTTCTTTGAATTTTGACCTCACTAGACTCTTATTTAATTTCAAAGAAATTATTTCTTTACCTTAACCAAAATTTTATGTGATTGAGACTAGATCTCTAAGAGAATTTATATCTATTTCTTCAAATCCAGCAAATGTTTTAGTAGAAATATTTACTTCTATTAAATTTTTATTAAAAAATTTAGCAGATTAAAAAAATCATGATTTCAACGTACTTATCTCATTTAGTTAACTTAAATAAGGGTCGGTTTTTCCAATCTCTTAAACTAACTAGTAGTTAAATTATATTATATCTACTTTGTTCAACTCGAGGGAAAAACAAAGACATGATTCACCTATTAATTAATTTGCCAAAATATTGCAACAACCGGCTCTAAATCTTTTTTCTGGGTGTGTGTTGAATCGAAGCCTATCTGAGTTTCTGCAAGAGTAGGTAGCCGCGAAAGTGATTAATAAACGTTTAGGTTTATTACTTCCTTACTAGACAGGGAAAACGTACGTACATAATTTCTTGCGCTTTCAAAGGTTCCAGTGCGTCTTGCGCAACCGCGAATGCACGCGTAATACACCGCATTAATGCAGCCTATGCGATGTCGCGTACGTATCCGGCAATATGAGCAAACGGAAGAATAAGAATAGCGGAGATCGCGCGAGGATATCGGTGTAAAAGACACCCAAGGCGGCGTTAAAATACAGCGTATATCTGTAACCCGTGTAGACTGCTTTCCGCGGGGAAGAGCCTCACGTTACAAAGCGCGGGGCGCCGACGAAACGCGGAGGAGGGAGGGAAAAGAAGCACGGGGACGGCTATTAATAATGTTTTAATTATTTTTATCGTCGCGCCGTCGCGAACTTTTCGCGTTCATAAATTCTTTTCCTCGTCGTCCGCCGTGCCCTCTCTCATCCTTCCCCGCGATTAATTATGCGGGTTACAAGGAGGGATTTTTCATATGCAAATTTTTGCATCATCCCGACGCGAGCGGCGAGAGGGAGGGGGGGGGGGGAGGGGAGAGACGGCAGGAGGAGGATATATGTGTATAGGCGCGCTGCGCAAATGAACCTCCTCGCGTTTCAAGAATAATGTCGCTGCTCGCGCGCGAGAAAAATTGCTGGGCGGGCGGCGCTTTGAATTATGCGCGTTGCTTCGCGTATATACTCGACGTCACGAGTGCCTTCGTCTTTCGTAGACGAGCACGGCACTTTTAGGACGAACGCGTTCGAATCCCGTTCCCCCCGTGATTACGATTTTGATTCCCACGAGTGAATAAGTTTGTGTATCTCTTCTGGAATGCGACGTGTAGGATCTAATCTACAATTGGCTCCTTGCGCCTAGAAACATTCTATTTTGTAGTCAATAAATGCCGTTTAAAAAATCTGCGCAAGCGGACAAATTGTAGAGGGAAGTCCTCTATTATGAGATTCTAATGTGTGATAGTAGATCTTCAACGTCCAAATTCAATGGCAAATCTTGTTTTAACGATTACACGATCTAACAATCAGTTTTCCACTGAACAGATTTCACCCCAGAGGCAATAAATTCACGGTGGAACCAACGGATGACGCCTATTAATTTAGCAGAAACTCCTATCTCATAATAGAGGACTCTCTATATTATACACTGTACATCGCACATTGTCGATAAACTTTTTATTTCGATTTGATTATATAAAATAGAATATTTCTAGATGCAGAGAGCACATTGTAGATTAGGTTTAAAACGCGAGTGCGCGTTCAGCAATGATTTTTCAAGGTACACGGATCAAGGATGGAGCTTCGATGGTACGATAGCTTTTGTTAACAATTGAATTTCTGTCCCAAAGCTAGTGTCAAACGACAATGATAATATTACCGGCATCGCGACGCGAAGAATTGCCCAGTCTCTCTTTTTTATCGTCCAATTTATTACTAAAAAATTGGTCATTAGTCTTTACTGCCCGTTTCGTCGCGCGCAGGAATTACTCGACCCCCGGCATGAAAGCGATCCGTCCGATCCGCAGGCAGTTACGCTCGTTGCCGAGGAGTATCTACGGTTGCGGTGACATTCCCGGGTGCACTTTGCGCGGCGCAAAGTGCCCGCGGCACTCGCAAATGGTGTGCTTTGACCAGCGTGCGACTCGCGCCGACTCCTCGTCCTGCTCCCCGCGATGTCTCTTTTTCCCCCCCCTCAAATTGACGGCAATTGCGCGATCACCGATGAAACTCACTTTCGTTTTACGAGGAGCGAAGTGCCTCGCTGGAATCAGCAACAAGACGTTATTTTTGCCTTCCACGGAGTGCAACTTTTACGGCCGGAGGGGGACGAGAGCTGGGGAGATCGGTCGATTACGCTATTGCGCTGAAATGATACGTTTCCGGTAAAGCGGGCCCGATGTAAGCCGGTCAATCGGATCGCGGGTGTGCACGTGTAATTTCGCGAAACGGCCGTTCTCGAAAAAGAAAAAAAATTAAGCGCGATCAAAGTGAGCCACGCGGCTTGTGCACGCTACCGATGATTATTACCATTATCTCATTTATTATCGCTATTCGCTCCTTTTCGTTTTAATAGCAACAAGCACACACCGCGACCGACAGTACGTAATTATTACCGCATACACGCATTTTCGTGTACGCGGCTAGACACGCGCGTGTCGGCCATCTCACTCGATCGTCGACTTTTGCGCAGGTGAACCGCGACATTTGCGTGCGAGAACGATCAGAGATCCACGATAATTTGACGATCCATGACACGTTAACTCGCCGTTAATTCCGCGCCAAGTAGAACGCCCATGTTTGCCGTGTGGTCTCACGTCAGGTGTTTTCGCCTCTTATCATTGCAGCCTGAAACGGTGCCTCAGGCGAGGATCGACATGACCCGCGTTCTGGAGGTGGCCGCGGCCGAGGACGTCACCGGGCATCCTTACAGCCTCGCCGTGACCTCGCCGGAAGGTGTAACCTTCGTCAAAGGGACGTGCCGCGAGGAGACCAGGTGGTGGACGGACGTTCTCCAGGTGTATTCGCGAAACAAGGTTGGTCCAGCTCAGTATCCCGTCTATCTCTGCACGTTTCATTACGTCGGCTACTTGTAGACGTTTACACGCGTCCCGATTAATTATAGGAGATTCCTTGGCGATCGTAAAGCCGTTATGAATAAAGTGAAAATTAAATAGTATGCACTTCTTCTTTTTTTCCCCGAGATATTCCACGCGTAATTGCAAGTAAAACGCGCATCGAGAACTGTTACAGCGAAAGGCGCGATCGAATTTCTGCGTCGAATTACGAGGGAAATATATCAATTCGAGAAAACGGCTCGATTGCCGAGCGGAGAAAGCCGCGATGCCTAATGTACACTTGCGAATGCAGAATCGCGTCTTACGTGTATCATTAGAGAATTTAATTTTCCGTCGATTACGGAGGATACGCGGGGACTCCATATCGATACCGTATTACGTCTCGCAAAGAGCATTGCGCGAGAGAACGGAGTCACGCGAACGGCAAGAAAACGCAACCGTCGGTTGATTGCCGGTGCCCTCGCATAATCATTACGTGCCATGTATCCTCTCCCGCGTCACGCTTGTTACGCGTGCAAGAATGATTCCCCCGCTGACTCGCGATGTCTTTTCGACTGGGATTAGGCTCCGATAGGGTTTCAGCGTGTTACCAGAAATCTAATGCGCGAGAGAAACCGAAGAGTATTGGGCGATCATTTCAACGCTTAGAGATTTTTTTAGAGATCGCGTATTGAGATAGTGTTAAATCTTTCAAGATTAAAACCAACGGCACGCGATTATATCCTACTCTACTGTTTACGAGAGCCAATCATCTTGCATCTTCTATAGAAAAGTTGCAGTCGATTGGCTGCACATTTCGGATCAATTTCTAGCATCGTGGACACAAAGCTTTAGAGAGGTGTTATCTACTTTCTAATAAAATCATCTCTCTAAAGCCTTGTGTCCGCGATGCTAGAAATCAGCCCGAGATCTCGATTCGAGAAATATGTAGCCAATCATCTTGCACCTTCTACAGAAAAGCTGCAGTTGATTGGATACACATTTCGGATCAATTTCCAGCATCGTGGACACCTGGTTTTAAAGAGGTGTTATCTGCTGTCTAATCAAGTCGCGAATACAATAAATGTATGAATCAACGAATTAATTCGTTAAAATTATCAATCGACATTCGCGGTACTTGCGCGCGCGACGCCGGCGACGAAAACGTCTTCATTGTCTCTCGTTACATAAAAGAGGCCGTTGTACGGCGCGGGATTAGCGACAATGTGGGACAGAATGCGGCACAAAAGTGCGCCGTCGAGTTCATAAACGGGCGCTTTCGCGTGATGAAGCGGTTATTGAGTGCGATTGTGCCGGTCGGCGCTTGAAAGGCCTTGGCGGGGGGAAAAAAAATTAACGTAAGCGACACGGTGAAACTGCCGACGTTGCCTCGCATAATCGTCCGCGCTGACCGATGCGCGTGTACACCGCGGCGCGCTCATTACGCCGACAATAACGCCCAGTAGTGCGCGAGTTGTCACTGCTGGGGCCGCGCGTCTCGCGGGGCTTGTCAGCCGAGTCGATTGGCCGCTTCCTGCGATTCATCCGTCTTTTCGCGATCTCTCTAAAGGCCCCTCCTCCCCCCCGGTTTTCTCTTTTCACTCGTCGCTTAACGTCGCGCGCCGGGGCGTCGCAAAAAGAGCGCCTATTATTCAGCCGGCGACCGAAAGCGCCTGGTGACAAATGGAGAGTGCACCGTTTCACTCGCCGCTATGCGATCGCGTCGAGACCCCGGGCCGGACGTGAGAACGATCGTTTCTAGCTCGTAAAAGCTGCCCCACGAGTGGTAACTCCATTAATTACGTGCGTGCTCTTAACACGTCACCGTTACAAGTTAGATACTCGAGGCCTTTTAAATTTCTCGATACTGTCGTCTCATCGCGCTGGAGAACTTGTTCGCGGCCACGGTATCCACATTTCTGTTCATATTTCGCTTATTAGCAGCCATAAGTTTGTTAATTGGCGAGCGGGCTGAAAAGTAAGTGACTTTTGCGACTTGGTCGTGGCCACTTGCCGCGAGGCAGCCGCGAATTTATGACATTTCACGCAACACGCGTGTCACGCGTGTTGCAAATTGTTGTGGCCGTAAAACAACTTAAGCTAAAGCCAGACATGTTTGTCCAATCTCTGCTTGTCAACGATTTCGAGTTTACAGCGGCGTGTCGGGCGTTTGCGTACCGCGTATTGTAAATTACGCAACTTTCGAGTCGGCGAGCGGGCCGAAAAGAAATTCGGGTCGAGTCCGCGTCGTGCGTCGACGGTCCTCCCGCAGCCCGAGCGGTTGTCTAAGTCTCTCGCGATTGTCTACGAAATTGCGATGGTGTCCGGCTCTCGCCAACTTCCCAATAAATCAGCCCCGCTGTAAATCGAGCTGCCATTCGTCGCTCGGGATCTCACGGCGACGTCCTGGATCGGCCACGTGTTACGCAAGAAATGATCGATCGGCAAGAGCAGAAATGTCTCTTCGCTCGGCGCTTCTGGCGAAACGGTTACTGCGTCGACGCACGTGCGATCGTATCGACGATTATTTCACCGAAGGATAGATTTCACGGCTGATTGTCTTACTTGAAATACATATACGCAACGTGTCAAAAAATCCATGCCGAAGTAGGTCTCGCGTGTTACGACATATCGGTACGCGGTTCGGCTAATGCCGTTTTTTTTTATTTCTCCCTTGCAGCGCGCATATATTCTTATTTAAATTGACTCTACAAATTAATTAACGAAAAGATATAAAGTCGCGAGAGGAACATATTTTCTGATTAAAATCGTCCGGGCGTGCGTAAAGAAATATTCTGAAACCCGCAAATACACCACTTTGCATACGCGATGCTTTGTAAATTATGATGCCTGAATTGTGTGTTGCAACGCGCGGGTGTTGAAGTTCGTAAAGTTGTAATTCTCAGACGAGAAGCATTCCGAGGCTCCGCGCTATCTCTCCCTCGCTATGGCAATAGCGTGATAATTATCTCTTCAGAATGAAGTATCCTTTGGGCCCGCGGGTTTCGCGTCGGCCACCATCGATCAATCGTCCCCGCGCGAAATGTTTAGGATCTCATCGTAGGCATCGCATTGTTCGTATACGGAGATTACACGCGGCTACACGTACGTTCGATTCCGTTACGCAAGCAATGATCGATCGGAAAATGGCTACACCTCGTCGTCGTGGACCCCGCGCCGGTGTAAACGAACGATTACGTTACGAGGCCAAGGCGAGATGCATACTTATGCGCCGCGCGACATTTAACGCGGGTGAACGTGGAAGAAACGCTGCTCCCGCGTTATTTTCCACGGCGTTTTTTTTTTTAAGGATTACTCCTTCTCCGTTGTCCTTCGAACCGCCACGCTGTCTATGCAAAAGAAGGCTTGCTTTGCATCTCGGGGCCATTCGCGAAGTCAACTTATTAGCAGTCATCGCAGCTGCTTTCGACTGAAGATATGGGACGGTGCTCGAAGGCAATAACGTTGAGAACGTTAAACCATTAATGAATGAACGCACGGAGAGAAGTTTCTTCGGTAAACCCACCTTCGGAAAACCCACCTATTCGAAATAATGGGTAAGAATACGCAATTCCTTTGTATTTTTGTCCTCTGAACGTGAATATGAAACTTAAAAATGGCGCTTGCAAACAAATTGGACCCTGCATTTTTGGACACCGCATGATTTAACTATTTAAAATCAAAGTGTCAAATAATGCGGTGTCCAATTTTTTTGCGAGCATTTTTAAGATTTATATTCACGTTCAGAGGACAAAAATACATAGGAATTGGATATTCTTACCCATTATTTCATATAGGTAGGTTTTTTCCGAAGGTTTACCGGTTCTTTTCAAATTTACCCTGAAAATCGTGTCATCGTGGGACAACATGGCGTTGTGAAGAACTTTATAAGAGTTTTTGAAATGTTACCATACATTTCGCTAGCAAAATGTACGCCTACTAGTGGAATACATGGTAAAATACAAAAAAAACTCTCGTAAAGTTCTTCAAAATGCCACGTTGGGTACATTTTAAGAGAAAATTCTCTCCGCGTAGATATATTTTTATAATATCATTAGAATTGATAATGCGATAGATGTCTCGTGATTTATGCGTCGAGTTAAAACGCGATGAAGTGTGCCCTGAGAAACACGTCCGTGTCGCGGATCGTGGTGTTCTCACGATTATGGGCGCGGATGAACGCAATTGTGCGATTATTCGCGGGTCGTTTTTCAAATCGCGCGTATCCCGTCGCGATCGATTATCCGGTTAGACTGTTGCAGCGTAGGAACGCCCGAGAATTTTAACAATAGAACCTTGGGTAAACTCCCTTCCACCGATGTCTTCACGGCAATTTTATGATTTTCAGGGTCGACACAAACGAAACGCAACCTTCCCCGGTGGGCAGACAACGATCCTGCAGGTTACGCCGACGATTCGAAGTGAGTGCCTTGTACTTGTGTGCGCTATGCCAATTTTGCAGTAAAGTCCTCGATCATGCGACAGGATTCTAATATGAGCCAATAGATTTTCAACGTTTGAATTCAATCGCGAATCTTTTTTTCGCAACGATTACACGATCTCACAATCATTTTTCCGCTAAACAAATTCCGAGGGCAAAAAATCCACGGTGGAACCGACAGACGACGCCTATTAATTTAACGGAAACTCCGCTATCTCATACTATGAGCCTATCTCATAGAGTACTTTCCTCTATTTATAATCGCGGACGTTTCCACGCCGGTGGTTAACACGACGGTGTAATCACTAATCTCGTGTAGTCATTTCGCGGTATCGCGTAGACGGGGACAATCTTTACGCAGACACATTTGACGTAACGTGCGACTGTTCAGCCGGCGTGGTAAATATCGCGTGGAAACGCGTGTGACAGAAATGAATACAAACAGGAGGAGGACAACCGGCGCGAGGGGGAAGACAAATGTCTTCTTCGCGATGCGCGGCTATTATTATACCGCTGCCACCTCGTTATCCCCAGTCTCCAGAACGAAGTTCTCGTTATCCCTAATTGAATTGCATTTATTTTAATTATCCATGACGGAAATTACGGCGATTAACTCGAGTTGAGTCACGTATCACCTAAGATGATGATGCTTTAATCTCGCTTACAGCGTATTATATAAATCTCTTTCGTACTAAAGCTCGATATCATTGTTTTCCAAGAAAGATTAGGACGCCGCTCTTCTTGTATTCCTATTTGTAAAGATTTCGCATTCCGCTGCCCGTTCTTACTCGCTCGTCTGAGCCTTTACAAAAGGTCGCGTCTGAACTTGATCACCAGGTAACACGCCAAATCCACCGCGACCGCGCTTCAATAGCTGCCGATCGGAGCCGCGCAGCACCGCGTGGATTCCAGAGACCGGCGGCGGAACGTCGGACCTGTGCTCCTCCGTCTTCTCGTCCACGCCGTCCTTGGTGACCACCAGCGGCATTACGGCCGCCAACAACAGCGCGCTGACCAACGGCAACACGGAGGGCATCTCCGAGATCAGGAGTAATCTGTCGCCTCTGCGCGCCCTCGAGAACGGCTCCACCGGAAATTATCTGACCACGTCGTCGACCACGAACGGCAACGTTTGCAGCACGGTCCACTCGACTTCCTCGACGGCCGTCTCGACGGCGACAACGACGACGGCGAGCAGCATTGCCTCGTTGGCCGATAAGCCGCCGATGATCCCCAACGACGGCGCGAGATCGACAAGCTATCGAGATCAACCTGCCAGCAGCGCGTCACCGCCGACCCGGGACAAGCTCCGCGCCGAGGACAAGGCCAGGCGCAGGATGAATCAGCAGGGCGAGCGGACTGGCGGCATCATCGGCGGCATCATCGGCGACGCAGCCGGCCCAGCCTCCGGCGAGAAACTAGGTCGGTATATTAAATGAGGCACAATCCCGCCCTATTGATTCCATACGGATGATATCGTCATCCGCACTCTGACATCTCCCTGACTCTGATTACACTGGACATCTGTGTGCTTCGTATCTTTATGTATCTTCCTTACATCTTTGCAATATACCGAATCAGAGATTGTGTCCGTTCGCGTTTACATAATCAAACCGAGACTCGATTAAGCCGGACAAATTAGAGACGATTCTTAAGGCCCGGTTTCACCAAACGTCGCTTTAATCTTAGTTTAATTCTTGTTTGTCTCTTTCTAAAGTGACAGTTGGAAAGAGACAAAGAACGAATTAAGTTAAAGGCAAACAACGTCGGTGAAACCGGACCTAAATTTTCAATCGCTTGTGACTTACTTTTGCCACCATCTCGCGATACATTGAACTAAATTTTCTCGAATATATGTAATTATTTTATCATTAACGCCCCTAGGGTAATTTGTTTTACCGTCGACTATGTTAAAATTAGAAAATGCACGTGGAGAATGGACAAAAACAGTTTGTGAAGAATGTGATTTCATTTCGAAATACATGTGAAAGTCACATTAGAAGTCGTAACTCTCAGGAGGTTCGTCTCACCTTGTCACGATTCACGTCGAAAGTTTTTCTCGCTCTTAATAGGTGCATAAAACTAGTTTATATACGGATGAAAACTAGGACGCTGCCACTTTGCGTTTTACATTCTCAATGACGATGATTTGCAGTCCACAGAAGAACCGACTGACGTATTAAGTCGGAGCTGACCTATTTTTATTCGATATAATTGATACCGCAAACGTAGCGGTTAGTGTGAAAACCTTGCTAGACTCGCATAGAAAGCTGTACTAACGAAACTGCATCTTCTTCCGAAATAATATCATAACAGATATTATAACTAATAATGGCAAAACTAGTATTATAACAACGAATACACCCAGAAAAAAGTTTCTTTGGAATCGAACGAATTTTCTTTAAACTTTGACGTTACTAGACTTTTATTTCATTTTAGAGAAATGATTTCTTTCACGGGGAAGTTCTTTTAAAAATCGACCAGACTGGCATAAAAGTGACATGTATTTAAGTTACAACGTTTCGACTTCTTAAAAGTATGTGTTACAAAGGAGAAAAACGTATCTAATGTTGACTGAACATATTAATTTTATGCCGAAACAGAATGAGTTCATGAGTCTGTGGTAGCAAATTCATATTTGGAATTATCACAAGTACAAATAAATAAATAAATAGATAAATAGTGAGATAATAAGTCAGAGAAATTAATTAATTAATAAGTTAAGTGTAAGAGTCAAAAAGTAAGTAAAAGACAAGAGTTCATGGACTCACATGTTTTGGTAGTCAGTGGATTTTTAGAGATCAATTTCTAAATGATTTCTTTACCTTAACCAAAATTTTATTTGATCGAGACTGAAATCTCTAAGAGAATTCGTATTTATTTCTTCAAATCTAGCAAATGTTTTAGTAGAAGTACTTAAATAAAAATTTAGTAGATTCAAAGAAACACGATTTCAACGTATCTCTTTTGTTTAGCTTATATGTATAAATCTGTTTTTGAGTGTGCATTCTATATAATTTTATTGAGAAAAATTCTCTGCTACGAGAATCACGGTGTGAAAAATGGGTGCCGTAGTTTATTCGGTTTTACAGGATTTTGAATATTAGATATTCGTCCGCGCGTTTTTCTCTCGTAAGAGAGAGTATCCCCGATTGTACCCTTCTGTGCCTGGCGTTACACGTTGCGTAATTGCGTGCGTACAATCTCGAAGAAAATCTACGGTCGCTCGGCCGCGCTGCGCCGCACCGTGCGATCCGTAGATTTCATTTAGATCGACGCCAAACGAACGACGGGATACCTTAGAATCTGCTCCGCGAAAAATCAGGACGCGGGCACGCGAAATCCGTCGAACGATCTCGCTAACGATTTCCAGCGAACGCGGATTATCGAAACGCGACTGTCTTATCGGAGCGTCGAAATCACTCGCGAGATTTAAACCGCGATTAGCCTTGCTCGGTTTAAGGAGGGTGTAAAGAGAGTCACAGAAATATTAAGAATTGTATAAAATTTAAAACATTCTCTTATAAGGCATGTAAATTGTTTTTAAAAACCGAGAAAGTCTAAAAAGATTTACGTATCGATAGCATTTACAAAAGAGCTTAAGTTTAACAGTCTTTTTATAATCGCGCCCGATCTAGGACTCCAATGTGGAATTTATTCACGAGAAATCGGCGATTCATTAGCCGATTCAAAACTGATTTTTTTCACGAAAGTTTAAGCAAAATATTTATTTTGACATCGTTCACTGCTGATTTAGTTTTATAGAGAGTCCCGTTTGATGTAATTTAATTTTCAACCGACTCGAGTTGTACATTTTAATGTGTCAATAATTCAATTTATCCTCTAGATGAAACGTAACATCTTTTTTTATGGCGAGAGATAGCCATTAATATAATGATGACGTGGTTGATTTTGACATATCGCTAAGATAAACGAGAAGTAAAGCGCGCACAAGACGGTCTTTCGCTTCTCTCGCTCGCTTGTTGCGGCATCGTATTGGCTAGAAAGTTATTAATTAGTCGGCAGTCAATTAATGCGGAATGATCGTTTACCCGTGCCAACGAGCGCCCATGTCGGGCGAGCGGCGCTTAAGCAGAAAAGAAATTAATTAGTTAACTCGCCGACGCAGACTTAACGGTTTTGCCTCTTGTCTTGCGGTGCACCGTCTTTTGGATCCTCCTCACCGGCATTCTAAATATCATAATTATAATTACAATGTCCCGGGGTGCGCCGTTAGGCTCGCGAAGGTCGAAATTATAGAGAATGAATAAGTAGATAGATTGACAGATAAATTCGTTAACGTTACATTCGCGATATGTCGCCTGATGTAGAAATGTAGGAGAATTTATATATTGTACAGACGACGATGCGTGCCGGAGGATACTTTTGGAACACGAGCGGGAAAGAGAGGGGAAACTACGAGATATAGCAGCCTCGTTGACACAGCCACGAGTGAGAAGAATCAAGCCGAGAACTTCGGAGCCAACCAGGGACGTCGTGGATGCGGTCAACGCGGCTCATCAGGACAAACTTGTACGTGACGGAGAGATACGAAAACACTATTATCAACCACTAATTGTATTTCGCATCGGTTGAATAACGATTACACTTTAAAGCACTTTTATTAGATATCTTACGGAAATATGTCTTAGTTAATCGTGCAGTTAAGATCTGATGATAAAAATGTGACGTTTGTGCATAAAAGATTAATTATTGATACCGATTTTAATAGACTCTGCTTAGAGATAAGTTACGCATTACGATACGCATTTCGTCACGTACAGATCAGAGGGGATCCCGACGGCTGCGGCCTAGATATTTCCGGCATTAGGTATTCGCCTACTTCCGAGTTAAGAGTCGATCTACCGGCGGAGGACTTGCTAAACATCAAGAAGGGCTGGCTGATGAAGCAAGGCTTGAATAAGGTGCGTCTCGCGTACTGGGCAGCGAGGGAGGTCTAAAAAATCTCGCTTAATAAAATGGTGCATTTGTTGTCTAGGAATGGAACAAACACTGGTTTGTTCTGAGGGGTTGCGGACTAATGTACTACAGGGACCCCTGCGCGGAGGACAAGGGCATCATGGATGGCGTTATAGACCTCAATACTGTCACCGCGGTCACGTCGCTTCAGGTCGCACGAAATTACGGATTCCAGACTGTCGTGAGTAATCGTAATTATGGTATCGCGTTTGCGTGAGAGAGAGGAGCGTTCGTGTTTCCCGGAAAGTAGCCGCTCTTGCAAAGCAATCAGCTTAATTGCAGCTGCTTAATTACGCGATAATATTGTTTTATTTTGAATTAAAGTCTTAGCGACTCTGCGATCTAGCCTGACCCACTTTTCTCACTGGAAATGTTAGCAGAGAAAATGGGATGTATAATATATTAATTTAAAGAAACCGAAAAAGTTTATCTTAAAGTCAGGAGAGTCAGATTCGATATCGATCTCCGTCTCTTTCTCTTTGGAAAAAGTTTTTAACCAATCTCTCGCTTAAACGAGATGCAAAATGATGAAAAACAGTCAGAATTATCAGAAGATATACCGGCAACTTCGACTTGAGCCAGTTGACGGATATGTTTGTTCGAATCAGAAGATTAGAATTAGTTTCTACATTTAGAATGGGAGCGTCCGGGGGAGAATGCTAACTCAATTTCACGGTAGAATAAATCGAGAGCTTCTTGTCCATGCTATTTTGATTACTGGCGGCGTTTGTCACTCGAGACGAAGCCCGTACAGTTGTATGACATTTCTTTCGCTTATGTCGTTTGCGCGACGCGTGCTAACTACCGTGGCTCACAATACAGGCCTGGGACGACAGAGGAAGCACGGTGCTGTCCGCGGTGACAGCTGGTATTAGGTCCAGTTGGATGTCGGCCATCAGAAGAGCGGCCAATCTACCTGATTCTGATAGTAATGTGGACTCTGTTACCATTTGTCCGGATAATCAGCCGGAGACGAATCCACAGTCGCCTACTACGTGAGTATAATTACGCGATTGTTTAACAAACAATATTTTTACATAGCGACATTATAAAATAACGCTTTGTGCTAACAAAGAGCTAATAAATATTTAACGAGCGATTAAGAAACAATTATATCGCATATTTCCTTTGTACGATAAAGAAATGTTTCCAGGAGACAATTAATTACGCTTTTCAAGAACGTGTACACATATTGTTTTATAGATCCATTACGGATCGTGAAAGAGACTCCGTCGTTCCATCGACATCCATCACGCCCCGATCGGTTCTGTTCTCGTCTGACGAAGAGTACAGGACCGCTTCCGAGGGTGGACGAAGAGAGTCCGGCGACTGGTCGGAGATGCCGGTGTCGCCGCCGCTAGTGAGGAACGACGAATGGTCTATGCTGAAAGGTTCCGGCTGGTCGGATGCGGCGAACCACGAGTGGTCGGAGTTGCCACCGTCGCCGCCGTTAACGAGAACCGCGCTGTCGAGGGTGAAAGCTCGGTCCAGATCGAGTTCCAGATCAAGAGTCTACAAGAGAAGCCGGAGTTCTCCGCCGAGCTCGCGAAGAAGCACCCTGGACAGTGTAAGATCGGAGGATCTGATGATGGCTTGCTGCGAACTCGGCGAGGACGAGGAGCAGAACAATAGCCATCTGCAGAACAACAGCTGCCTCTCGAGTACCAACGACAGCCCTCTTATCGTTGAGCTTTTGGAGAATCAAGTTTCGCTGTTGCGCGATCAACTAGATCAGAACCAGTCCCACCCGAGTACGTTACTAGTCATTGTCGAGCGTCAGGAGAACGAGATCGAGAGCTTGAAATCGCAGCTGAATGCGGCGCGAACCGACATCGCGAGTGCGGAGAAGGAGCTGTCCAGGCTCCGGCAGCAGAAAGCGGAGGCGTCCATCAGGGAGAAACAGGTGGAGGAACTGTTGAATACGATACAGAGGACGGAGCAGCAGAGGAATAAGGATCTGGACGATTTGGAGAAAATGAAAAAGATGTACAATAGAGAGAAAGAGGTCTTGGAATGTAAATTACTTGAAACAGAGGCTATTCTGAGGGAAACAACGGAGAGATGCGAAATGCTTACGAACGAACTGACGTCGAGTCACCGAAATGTCGAGCATCTGCAGGCGGAAACTGCGGCTCTTAGCGACAGATTGTCTCAAGGTATATATTTTGTTTATGATGAAACGCACAATATATATTGACAAAGTAAATAATGTGTTTGACTGATAATTATTCCTTAAATTAGGTATCGAGGAAAATGAACGCCTTTATAATAGGGTAAGGGAATTGGAGGGAAAGAATGGACTCTCAGCTTCGAGAGAACGTGGTCGAAGCTTTGACTCGCTCAGCGATTTGACCAATATCGAATTGGATTTAGATTTGACCTCGTTGGACAAGGAAAGGTACACGCGTGTTGTAAAATAAGAAATGTCGTTGGAGTAATAGTTAAATATAGCAATGGTTACAATGTGATATTTTTGTTGCAGAGTCATGGAAGAGTACGACGAGTTGCGAAGCCGTTTCGAGAAAGCTGTCATGGAAATTCGAGCCATGAGAAAGGAGCTGCGAGAGGCTCATGCTACACAAGATGTTTTGGAATTAGAAATCTTTGCGCATAAGCAGGACGCAGCTAATGTCAGCGAGACAAATCAAGCACAGATTCAGTTAATGGCGGCGAGAATTCAGGACTTAACTAACAAGTTAGCCGCTAGCGAGAAGCAAATTAGAACGTTGAAGCAAAAGCTGACAAAAGCCGAGAGCAGAGATAAGAGAAGATCACTCTCTCTCAAGGGAAGAGAATCTTTTCAGATCTCGCAGGAGGTGGAAGACAAACTGTTGGATCTAGAAAATAAAATCTGCGCTATAGAAAGGGGTAAGAGCATCAGCGCTCCTGTTTCGGCTGGCAGCAGCTCGAAGGAATCGAGTCCCAATCTGAAAAAAGAAAAGAGGAGAGACAGCAAGAATCTGGATCGGGCGAGACTGCGAAGGAAATCTTTAGACAGCGCGACGAGTTCTGAACCAATGAAAGTGCTGATTAGACTAAGTACTCTGGAAACAAAAGTGGCTAGCGTTGCTGAGACCATGGTCAGTGACGCGGAGAAGGATTCCAGTGAGTGTAGCGAGATCAGCGGATCCTCCGAGGTGTCGTTGGAGGTCTTGGCAAGGTTGAAAAAATTGGAGAGAGTAGTATTGAAGTCTAAAAGGCGATTGGAAAAATGTCTCGGCTCGACGCAGGCGGAGGATAAGGCCGAAAAGTGTTTGCGAGAGGTGAATGAAATATTAGATTCGTGCTTAGAATGTAAGAAGAATCAGGCTAGCGCTCAAATCACCGAGTCAGTAGGAGTAGTGGTATCTAGGCTAGAAACTATACTTAAGGACAAACTGAGCGAACTCACGAAGAGACGGCAGTTGCTAGCGCAGGAAGGTCGGTTGGACGAGAGGGAGAAGACGAGACTCGTCGCCGAGAGAATAGCTTTCGAGTCTGTGATCCTACGGCAAATTAAATGCGCGCTGAATCGCACAACGGACAGAAGTGCCGTTCTAAGTGAATTGGTCGAAACTAGTCAGCTTGCCTCAAGCTTAAAACGTAAGATTCACGGAACTAAGCCCAAAACGTACCAAAAAACCAATTACATTCAGTATCTCACTAAAGTGTTAGCGAATAAGTTAGTACTGATAGGACACTCCTCTGTATCGACGGAAACACCGAAGGAGATTAGCGCCGCTCGCAGCGAAAGTCTTAACTTTTTGCTGCAGAAGCAGCGGGAGATCAACGAGATAATGCGGAAGTACAAGGACGCCAAGTTGCGACAGCTCGCGGAATCTCTGGCCGCTGAGACGTTGAGTCTGTCCGAGCAGGAGGACCTCGCGGGCAAACAGATCAGCGGCTCGAACAAGAAGCTGCTCGAGGATAGACGTATTCGCGAGGCATGGGCTTTAGCGCAAGAGACCGTGAGCAAGGAACTTGTGCAGGCAGAAGTGTCTCATGTTATCATGCGTTATGGACAATTGTACGAGCAAAACGTCACCTCGATCACGGACATTTGCCTCAGCTTTGATAACGCGGACAACGTTAAGCTGGAATCGTGGATAGACGCGGCGCAAGCGCGATTACGCCAAGAGATGGAGGTTTCCATACATGAGCTGTCGGGGGCTTACGAGGACTGTCTGCGTACAATGAAGAAGAACAAGCTGATGACGCTCGATTCCAAGCACGAATCCCGTCAACTGCTCACGGACTATGCCGACGTAATTGCGCATAAAGCTTTAATAGATTCTAGAATCGCTCTTCTTCAGGAAACCACTCGGCAATCATCTACGACACTGTCTGGCGAGACTTTCGTATCTAGTCTTATCCGAAACGAAGAGATCATATCCTGTTTGGCGAACGACGAAGGATACGATCTTCAAAGCAATCCGATTCTCGATGCGGAGTATAGTTACCTTTACCAGCGATTGACTAAGGAATGCGAGGATAGAATAACCGGAAGAAGAGAATCGAAGGAGCAACTCAAGAACGTCAGTCAATCGTTGTTTCACTTGGAAGAAAATCTAGCTGAGCTCAGCAAATGTATAAGAGACAAAACTGGCGTGAAGATCGACAATATTGTTTGGCCCAAGTCGACGAGCAGTGTTACGGATTGGTCTAGCGTATGCGAGAAATGCTTGCACTTACGAGAACAGATAAGGAAGCTGAGCGATCACATGAGCAACGTGTCCTGCCAGACATGCAACCAACTCCAGGAAACTATTCAGAAGATAACGAACGAACACAATCAGGAATTAGAGATGCTCAAGCGCAATCAAGAGAGAGACTTGATGGATATCAAGGGCGAATTGGACAGCCAGCGGCAATCTCTGACGACACAGTACGAGCATGAGGCAGCCAGTTTACGCGAGAGAGCCAGGAAACTGGAGCATCGTCTCAATGCGATGGATTCCGAGCATTCGGCTCATGTGAACGAGCTGAGAGCTGCTTATCAAAGATCGATAAGCGCCGAATTGGACACCGACGCCGAGACGCGAAAGCGATACAAGGAGGAGATCAAGCAGCTACGCGCGTTATGCGAAAAAGGTCTGTTGGCTATGGAGAACTCGCACAGGCGCATCATCGCCGAGATGGAAGAGAAACATCGGCAGGAACTGGAGAGTCTCAGGGTGGAAAAGGAACAGGCGCTCTCCGAGGAGACACAGGCGACTCTGGCTGCATTAGACGCCATGAGGAAAGCGCACGAGCACGAAGTGCAGAAGGAGATCGCCAAGTTCAAGCAGGAGTTCATTAAGCAGATGCAGGCGCGCGAGGACATTGGCGTTTTGCACAAGGAACATGAGTATGCGAGGATTTCGATGTTAACTCGATCGAGTTAAACACGATGCAGATGTTAACTGCGTGTTTCTTTTCTTTCTTATAGGGAGGAAATGGAGGAGATCAAGCAAGAGATTCTTTCTCTGTCTGCCAAGTATTCGTCCAAGTGCGTAGAGTCAGCCGCATTGGAGGAGAAAGTGGGCAATCTGTCCAAGCAACTTGCCCAGGCGCAACAGCACATCATGCAACTGGACGCAAGGAACAAGCAGTTACGAGCGCATCTGGTATTGGAGACGAACGACAGTGGTATCAACGATACTATACAGATACTGAGAGGTAGGGACAACGAGCTCGCCGAGCCGAGGGAAGAGATGCATCGACTGCAACAACAATTCAAGGTACGACTGTCCCTTGGCTACCAGTTTAGAAAAAGAGTAGATGTGGTTAACAATATGTATACACTACTAAATTGATTAACTCTGCTGCAATTACATATTATGGTGTTTCACCTAGTGAGCTTATCGCGCCCTAACGATAATTGCGACCATATTAGTATTTTAATCGCTCGAATAAAAACAATGCGCTTTTCATTAACGACTGCCTCATCGTTTTCACGTTCTCGGACTTGCATATCGTCCTGTAAATAATATATAATACTAGTTCGCCCGACGTCCGACGAGTCGTAAAATACCACACCCGATGTAATTGTAACTTAGCGGACAGTTGAAGCGAGTTGATTAAGCGTTTAACCCGCCCCTCCCGCTCGCCCATCAGTCGCATTGACGCATATTTTCGATATTTCACTAACAGCATGGGGACACCCTTCGTGAATCGTCCGGCGTGCCGTCAAAAGCCGCCCTGTCGCTAGACTACTCGCCCGCCTACTCGCCGCAACGCCTCAGAGGTAATCGGGGCAACGGCGAACAGAAATTAACGAGCGAACGGAGTCCGAAAGGAGCGAGCTCCTTTTCCAGCGCGTTGCAAAAACAGTCTCTGTCGACGGATCGGCCTCAGAGCGCATTCTCGTACAGACTCGAGCGCGTAAAGTCCGTCTCGTTGCCGTACTCGAGTAGTCTGGCCAGGCCGGCGAGTAGTGCCGGTGTTCCCGGCTCGCACGTTGACGGGAAAGAGCCGCCGGCGAGTTTAGGGCAAAAGGAGCGTAACGGCAACCTGGGCTCGTCATTATGGGACAGCTTGAGACCGAGGAGCGGCCTGCCTCATCAGTATCAAGGTACAGAAGAGAGATGAATGCGGAGGGGAAGGAAGGGAGAAAAGTCCACGGTGATGGAATGTATTGTCGAACGACAGCGGGAGAATCCACGGTGCTTTTGTAAATTTACTGCGTAATCACTGACATAATTGTGGTTTTTACTGTCGATGTTGTTACTTTACGATCGGTATTGGTTTCAATATTTTCACTCGAAGCAATTTTTCGCATACGCAGCCAAAAGTGTTGCGTCGTTTCCCGGCATAACGCCAGAAAGTCGTGAAAGGAGTCGCGAGAACATTTCTGTCTTCAATTGTTACTTATCTTGCGGAGGGAGAGTGTGAGATTAACACATGCTTTATGGAAATTAACAGCGCTAACAGCTAAGATATTAACCCTGTTAAAATACTGCTGACTGATATGAAGACTGTGAGCATATTATTTTAAGCGGGCTCTGCGAGACCAATGTTATTGATGTAAATACGATATTAAATAATCAGTATTGGATAGTAAGAATGTCGTAAATACGTAGAGGCCGCTTAATTATGCATATAACTGTGCAATACTTATTGAAACAATGTGTCGTTTGTTAACTATTTTGAAGAGCTTGTCCTTATCGCATGTATATACGAATGAGTTGGAACCTTTCCCCTTTATTATGACGATATTGTTAATTATTGTGTAAATCTCTGAGATAAGAATAATCGATAAAACTGGCAGTCTTCTAATCTTAGTTACGTTGTTTATGAGTTACACTGACAACTAACGTCAAAAGCGTGCCTACCGTTATCTGATATCAATTGCATACGACGCGCAGTTATGCAATGCTTGTCTAACGCTGATTATTTGCTAACATTAATTGTGTACGGGCCCACGATGTGCAATATACAAAATACTCTGTCTTACCGTGGAGGTAACACTACTGTACGCTATAAACTATCTAATCTATAAAGATATTCAAATAGCTAAGTGTCGTATATGATGTACTAAAGATGTGCAAGTGATGTACACACAAACTGTACGCCGATGTGACAGTTGTCAAACGAAAATATACTTGGATATCACAATTTTCGCAAAGAAATTTTTATTCTAACATTAATTAGCCCGGTAAAGTATGCATACATTTTTCTTTAACGTAATTGAGAAAGATCACAGATTTCTAGTCACTGGCACATCTTCAACTAAGAATATCGCAATATGCATTGATGTAGCCGTAACAATTGATGGAATTTGAAGTCAGCCTAAATTAATTGATTTAAGCTAAAACTTAGTTTTCTATCACATTTTAAAATATTCCAAAAGGAAATGTAAATACATACATATTTTTTTCACATAAAAATGTATGTTGTACATGTATATTTTTGCATCGGCTTTTATATCATTGTGTATGTACGTGTACGACTATACGTACACGTATACTCTGCGGAAAGCGATGCAAAGGTCTCAATTAAATGGATCTAGAGAAGATGTAGTAAATTAGAGAGGCATATAGCCAATTTCCTCTACGATCCTACGATTTTATGATAATCAAAAGTATTTGAAGTAATAAATGCATTACACGACACAGATGTGTCCTTTAGTGGCTGATAATTCACATTCAATAATTCACGGTTTCGATTGTGAATTTTATCCTTGTTACACTTTCGTAACGCGAGACAATAACTGACGCTGTCTTATATGTGAGAGACGTTTACGGATATGTGTAACGATGTCACGATGCATTGAGCGTAACAGTATTTCGACAACTGTTTGACATGTAAGGTGGCACAACAACAGAGATGCGAGTCGGCAGCGGCACTAGCGTCCAACGGTGGCAGGAGGCAAAGCAGAATGAAAAGCAGCAGCTCTCGCAGGCATACACCCTCCGTGCCAACGCTCGTCACACATCCCGCCTCACCCCGGAACCCCCAGCTCTCTCCGTTGCAGGTCCGTTTCCTCCCCTTCGTCGCTTTGTTGAATGTTACTTAGGCGCATCGTTCATGCTACTTTGCTTTCATGTCTATCGCATCTTGTCACGACGTGTACGATATTCGTATGTTTGCTTTAGTTCTCGTGTCTCGTGAAAAATTGTATATACATATATATATATATTTATAATTTTTTTTCTCGGGTATTTCGAGAGGCTTTCACGATTATGAATATTCATGTTTGATGAGTTCTATCATCTGTTTACACGTTACAGAGTTGATGAGGTCTCCAGCGTTGAGGTGGTCCAGCAGAAGTTGTCGCAGTCTACCTCCGACTCCCACACCGAGTTATCATCATCCACTTCATCCTCCTCTACCCGCTGTGGGCATGGTCGCCGAGAGGAAGAAACGTTTTGAGCTCTAAATTTTTGTCTCCCTTTTTTATTTTTTCGATTAATAACTAGATATTACGTGTGCGTAGAGGTGGTCGAAGCGCTTGACGTATTTAAAAATTACTTTGCAAATAAAGTTTAAGCAGCCCGTGTAGTAAAACAAAGGGCAACGTTTACGACGGTGAAACACCGCTCCGATGTTGTGCTTCTTCTTTCGGAAATTATGAGACTGAGAGTATTTTGATATACAGTGGAACCATAAATGATTTTAAAACGCTCTACGAGAGACAGATCGTTGGAATAAATACTGCATCGCGTGTACGCGAATGGCAGTTTCGCCACTGCCAAACGAGAACGGGGCTTGGATTTGATGTTTGATGGACCAAAGTCGAAATACCGATCGCGCTCGTCGTGAATATTGAACATGTTTATTAAGTAAACATGATTCAATGGCCGAAACGAGTATCGATTACTAGAAGAGGACGGATTGTGCAACCCTTCTTCTTCCACGAGGCGAAAATTCGTAACGTCAAAAAATTCATCGCGGGTTTATCGAACGCGATAGGTCGTTTTTGACAGAATTTTTCTCGAAAAATTTTTCTAAGCGTATTCACCCACGCCGCCTTTTACCGGCGACCGTTCTTTGATATGCATTTAGACTTTGATAAGGGGGTTTTTTTTATACCGTTAGTTGCGAGTAGATCTTTTGCTACAACTGACTTTCCGCGAATGACGCGTGATTTTGGAATACATATTTCGGGGGCATTATTTACCGCAAAGTGTCACGCGCGAAATTCTTCACGACGTATTGTTTGGTGCTAAAAACAAAGCGCGTTAAGAAAACATGTATTACGAATCATGTATGCACTCGTCGTGATAGCCTACCATAATGTAGTATAGAACTGTGTTTCGACGTAACAATATATAGGACCAAGGACAAATGTTTATTAGGTTTCCACAACCTTCTCGAAATTCGCATCGGTTGAGCGTAGGCGTGCGCGGACTTTTTTTATTTGGTGATCCCGCGGGGACAATTTCAAAATTTCAATAAATGAAACGAAATAGAAAAAGACGACACCAGTTGTCCCATTGCTACTCAATCGTGACTTCGCTGGGTGCGTGAAAATAATTTCTTTTTATACTTTTGGGAAAAGTGAAAAGCCTATTCCGTGACACGCCTATGCGGTTGAGTGTACTCGACGAATGAAATTGCACTCTGAGTTTTCATGTTAAACAAATCCCACTCTACGGTTATTATTAAAGGAAATAATACTTTTTAAGTATATTAACGTTGAAATACGAATGATTAATTGTTTAACATCATTAGATTTTCGTAATTCTGAAGGATTTGTATTTGTTGAGTATATATTTGTCAAGTTAAACGAAAGATTCCATTTTATATGCTGGTTAAATTTGATTTGCGTACGTCTGTCTCCTCCCAGAGGAGATCCCGTTAAGTTTGTTATATTTAAGACACAAATATTTTGAACTATGCACTTCTGGTTATTGCAGAGAAGATTTCTAGGTTGAATGTATCCATTCGACTTAAAGTAAAAGGGGAAAAAAAAGGAAATTTTAGTTTGTTAATCGAGAACGAAGAGATCATACGCTTGTTTCTCGCTCTTGTTATGTATAGATACTGCACGTAATATGGCATTGCACTGTGTATTATCGCATCTTCTCATTGTGTAAATGTTTTCAGATTGCGATCATTTGATGTTAATACTGTATAGTTTATGACGTTTTTATTAAGGAGCAGTAAAATATAGACGATTAATTCCGTTCTTTCCCCCCAATCTCCCATCTATCGTGTGTACGGATTGTTTATATATTACTATCGTATTTTATATTATACATATATATATATTATTACTATGATTATTATTGCGATTCGTTCCAGTGATTCGCACGATATTAAAACGATAGAGGATGTTAAAAACTTTTCGATTGTCCCTTATGTAGAATAATTACTCAGGATTGTTTAACATTTATAATATATTACTATTATGCTATTGTATTTGTATGATAATTTATATATAACGTTTGAAATAAAATACAGTAACCATGAATATATTTGCTCATAGTGTCAACAATTATTTATCACTTTGTACAGCGTTCTGGAGTCCGTTTGCGGAATGTATTCCATATTCCTACCTACTCGCGTTTTAACTTTTTGTTAATAAACCTTACAAGTCTTTCACGAAAACCGTGACGCGATTTATAAGAGGTTCGATTTGGGATTATACGAGGGGGAAATCGCTGAGGGCATTGTGGTGTACAGATTTGTGGCATTACCGGGCATTATAAAGATAAAATAAGATACAATAAGATAAAATAAGATAAAACAAGATAAATAAGATAATAAAGAAAAGAAGATAATAAGATAAGTAATGCCCACTGGGCATTAGTGGGTATTGGTGTACAAGATTTTGGTCAGCGGTTTCCCCCTCGGGATTATAATACGCGCGATTGGGATTTAATAGAGGTCTGTTCAATTTTGCACGCATATACGCGAATATATAAAGAAGAATAACCCACCCGAATTTCGGCAAACAAAAGAAATCCAATTATTTTGTACGACAGAGTGGCCAATATTGACCACTATCTTTGTCGTATCCAGTTCGTCGTATCCCTTCGTTGGGCCAGATTGATCCTACCTTTCGTTGCTCCCGGCCATACAGTCTGGTCATTTTGACCAGAGATCAGGAAGGAAGAAAACTCCTTCCATAGTCGGTTTATCACCGACAGATATTTCGCACGGTTCGAAAACTATAATGTGCGAGCGTCGATCGTATCGAAATGCGCGACCACGAGAAGTTAATTAAAATTAAATTTATTTTAATTCCGCGATAAATTCACATTTATAATGTCGACGAAATGAAACAATAAAGAAGAATATTAATTAAAAATGTTTCCGTATTAAACTACTCGAATATATTTTTACTTCCGATATTTCTTCGAGAATAAATAATGACTGTCGCTTCGTGACTCAATCTTTAAATTCAAAATTCAAGTATATTCGATATATAGGAAAAAGAATTTACTTCGCGTTACATTTATTTTAATTCCGCGATAAATTCGCATTTATAACATCGACGAAATTAAACAATTAATAATTGAACAGAGTTTACGACTTACCGACTCGATGCGCAGCAGCGGAGTTTAACTATGTTGGTTCTGTAACATAAAATTATAAAATTCACATTAATACGGAGAAACCGGGAAAACCAATATTAAAGAAAATAATTTTTATCTTTTTCCCCACGACGATTACACGATCTAACAATAAATATTCCACTAAACAGATTTCACTTACAATTAGAGCAATAAATTCACGGTGGAACCAACAGAAGATCCTTGTTAATTTAACAGAAATCTTCGCACAGACAAATCGCAGCAAGATGAACTTGCTGTCTCGTTGGAAAGCTAAAATTTCAGCGTTCTCGCGCGATGAGAATCGCTAATCTCGGATCATCGGTCTATCAGATATTATTGATAAATTCCGCGAAGAAAATTGACTTTGTGTTCCGAGATTGCGAATTAATCTTCCAACTGGAATCGGCGGGGGTGGTGGGGGGCTTTTACAAGTTGGTCTGTTCGCTCACATAACGAAAAATTAATAACTCTGTTTCTAACATTTCGTGCACGCAGCGCGGAATACAACCAAAACGCGTACGTCTGCTTTATCCGCTTAGCCCGCACGTGGACATTGACCACGTAGTTCAGGCCCGAGTTTTCAATGTCCACAGAGGACGCGTCGCGTTCGAGGATCGCGTGCTTGTGTTTCTAACCTCGTGCTATTGTTTTGTTCACTATTATATGAGTAGAAAAATAGTGTAATCTAGTTCTGGACGAAATGACTGAAGAAGCTACCGAAGTTGATTGTATACTACGACCGATAAATTGTGAAATTAATTTACTGTCACGATCAGACGGCTCGGTAATGTTTATGCAAGGTACGAAGCGAACGTTTTAAACTATATTTGGTTGCTAAGAAAATAATTTAACTAACAACAGGGAGGAAAATTATTTGACGACTTTAAACTGGCCAAGTGGTTTAATTTAACAAATCGTCCCAACGTCTCGACCATCCGGATTTTGGTCCTTTTCAAGGAGGTGTCTACAATTTTGGAGATACAACAAACAAATTGATAGGCTATTTGTCACACGAACGGCTTAAGCCCAATATACAATGTGCTTCCTGCATCTAGAAACATTCTATTTTGTGTAAACAAATCAAAACACTTCACAAACTTGCCGACAATTTGCGATTGTACAATGTATAGTGCACAGTTCATCAACTTGCCAAAATTTTGTAAACGTATGTATTGGCCAGGAAATAGAATGTTTCCAGATGCTAAGGACACGTTGTAGATTAGCCTTTAAGCCTAATCTACAATGTGCTTCCTGCGTCTAGAAACATTCTATTTCATGTAAACAAATCAAAACGCTTAACAAACTTGTCGACTATTTACGATTGTACAATGTATAATGCACAATTTATCAACTTGCCCAAATTTTGTGAACGTATTTATTGGCTAGGAAATAGAATGTTTCTAGACGCAAAGGACACGTTGTAGATTAGCCTTTATAGATACTAAGTTTCTCCAAAACTGTAGGTATCTCCTTGAAAAGGGCCGCAGTCCGGACGGTCAAAATGTGGGAAGAATTTATTAAATTAAACCACTTAGTTTAAAGTCGTCAAATAATTTCTCTTCCTGTTGACAATTTACTTATTTGTCCACGCGCAGGTGACACTACAACTATCGCGGGGATAAACGGACCCTTGGAAGCAAGAAGCCAAAAGATGGCGTATGATAAGGTCTCTATTGAAGTTACGTACACGCCTCTTAAAGGGCCAGCGAGTGAGTTCTATCAAAATTAAAATCACCAGCTATCGGCATCGCTTTGGACCCGCATAACCGTCTGCTAATCGTTTCAGAGGTGGACGACAGATTAATCGAGACGTACATAAAAGAGACCTGTGAATCTGCTATACTAGTTTCGTTGCATCCCAACACCATGGTGTGCATTAATCTACAAGAGATGCAAGATTCTGGCGGGGTGAGATTTCACTTTGCCTGCGTTCGTTTTCTTCCACCGGGAGCATAAACTATACTGAAAGTCTATAATTCACGTAACGTAAACTATAGAGTCTCAGTATAGTTTATGCTCCCAGTGGGAGAAAACGAACGCAAGCTATGTGTTGTACGTTAACGGCAGGCCTTTTGCGTAAATTTGAATAGCGTATAAACAAAATGAAATTTTAGCTTTACCATTCAACTGATTTGTCGCGAACTTTTTGCGTAAATTTGAATAGCGTATAAACAAAATGAAATTTTAGCTTTACCATTCAACTGATTTGTCGCGAACTTTGCGTAATTTGAATAGCGTGTAAACAAAATGAAATTTTTAGCTGCTGGCTTGCGCCATTAATGCGGCGTGCTTGGCGCTAATTAACTCGGGACTTTCCATGAAGTACACCGTCGCAGCTGTGAATTGTATGATAGAAAAAGAAACGGGAGAGACGATCATCGATCCCGACGGCTCGCAGTTAAAAGTATTTATAAATAGTGTCAAATAATTAAGTATCTGTTGTGTTTAAAAAAATGCTACTTTTGATTATTTCTTTACAGAATGCCAGAGCGGAATTCACGTATGCTTTTGACAGTACTAACAAAGATATTGTATGCTGTCACAGCACTGGCCGATTTTCTCAAAGCGAGTTCTTGGCCTCTCTGGATAAGTGTAGGCAAGTCAGTAAATACGTGTTCGATTATTACAGGGAAGTGACAAGAAAGTATGCAAATGTAATATGACACGTTGCGATATTAGTTTGTCTTTAAATAAATATTTTTTACTTCCTAATCTTCTCCCGAATTAATGGAAATTTTTACGTACAACTTCATCGTAGCATCCGCTGCTGCGCATTAAAAAAGTAGGTAAATAAAAACGATCGCCGAATATTAACGTCGGTAGTTCGAGAGGTAATTTTTTGCGCACGCCAAACACTTGGTTCTCGCGTCTCGAAAAAGGATATTTTGCAGGAGGACCGCGTAATTTCTAAAGAAATATTTTTAAATTCGACACAGACGAGAATGTAACTTTTATCGAATCCCTGGCGTTTGTAAAACTGAAATACGCTATTCCGAGCACATCGCGACGCGAGTAAATAAAAACGATCGTCGAATATTAACGTCGGTAGTTCGAGAGGTAATTTTTTGCGCACGCCAAACACTTGGTTCTCGCGTCTCGAAAAAGGATATTTTGCAGGAGGACCGCGTAATTTCTAAAGAAATATTATTTTTAAATTCGACACAGACGAGAATGTAACTTTTATCGAATCCCTGACGTTTGTAAAACTGAAATACGCTATTCCGAGCACATCGCGACGCGAGAAAAAGTTATCTAACGTCCTGCGTGCACGGACGGAGACGTAATCGTCGTGGGAATGAAATCAACTTTGCAAATGACAAACGGCAACGAAAAACCAAAGGATTACTCACCCAAGGGTCGCTCCGCCGGCGCCTGATGCCCTCCCGGGCCTCCTCCTCCTCTCAGAATCCGTCGTCGAACGTCACACGCACACACACACACTCACTCACACACGCGCACGCACAACGCACTCGCGAAACACAATTACAACCGCGATCCAGCGCGAATCACACGATACGACGATCGCGACTTTGCACGGCACTCACAGTGAGAAATGATTCGTCGATCGACGTCGAAATGATGTCGAATCGACCCAATTCGACGGTGTCGATGTCGATTCGACGTCGTTTCGACGTCGATCGACGAATCATTTCTCACTGGGCTCCCGGTTTCAATTCACACGCGAACTTTGTAACTCACGGCGAGAGAATGACGAGCAATGGCGGGCGACGCGTCCCGCCGTCCGTTGCGCCAATTTCAAGCGGCGAAGTTAGTAGTGACGCGCGGCCAACTTCACGCGCCGTCCCGAACCTTCCTGGATCGTCGGTCGAGCGAGCGGGATAACTGCAGCGGCGCGTCGGCCGCCGGTCGTGTCTATCGCGGGCACAATTTGTGGATATCGGCATGCGCGGTTAATCACACTTCGCTCCGCTTACCGCTCGAAACGCCGCGCCGTTGCGATCCAACCTCGGGCCTGCTGCGCAGCTGCGACGTGACGGTCCGAAGCAGTCCGAAGTTCCGAAGCAACTGTATAGTGACGTGCGACACGACGTGCGTCAAGCTGGCAGCCAACAACGCGAGTCGAGTTGGCAACGTTCGTTCGGTGCTTCGCGAGTTCACTATTTCGTGCTTTTAACGGAGACACAGCCGACGAATTGTAGTCGAAGCGACGGGAGATTCAATACGAAGCAGGTTGACCGAGCATCGACGGCAAAACGCGAGAGTTCCGCGATCACACAATGATATCGATCGATTCGTAGAGAACATTCGCGAACGCGTAGTAAAAAGAAGTGACATTATGCGCGGAGCGGCGCGGGCCGCCGGCTCGGCCGCCGCCGCGCGAATGATCTAGGCCTGACCTTGTTGTTGAGCCGAGCTGCGTAGACCGAGCCGCCGAATTCCAAAGTGTGACGTAGCGTCGTAAACAACTCGGTGAAAAACAGTTTATCGATCGGCGCGTCACGGCCGAGCGAGACAGACGATCCGCGTGTTTTTGCCTCGCTCCTCGCAATGTTTTCTCAAATGTTTCATCGTTTTAGTTTCGATACATCCACGGGCGGATACACTTGCTCAACGTGTCTTTCGTTACTCGTCAAAATTGTTCTTACATTTTTCAAACCCGCGGTGCCGTTTGGCGATGGTTTACGTCGAGCCGCGGGACGTTTTCGTTTCTCGCAAGAGAGAAACTTCGCGATTTCGCGGTTCAAGATACATCGCGCCGTTGACGAGGCTTGCGCAGTAGCGCCGGCGCAGTAGCCGCCGGGAGCGGCGCCATGTTGAACCATTCGAGAAGCGCCCGTGGACACGCAAGCGGATCCGGTGCGATGATCGTCGGCGTTTCACGGTACGCACAATCGCGGTGAGTTCACTGTCGTCCGGTTTGACAGTCGCGCGACGCGGACTCGAACCCTCGCGCGTCGGTGATCCGTCGGGACGCGTGAACGTGCGACATCCCGGGCGAAATCTCACGCGCGGACGGGCGCCGTCGTAGCCTCGGGCGCCAAGAGTGCACCGAGTTTTACGATTTTAGCTCGTGTCTCCTCGCGCGCGCGGTAATGTCCGAGTTTCCC